TGTTCTTTATTCTCACTTAATGACATCCTATTTCTGAGAGGCTTATCATTCCCTGTATTTCATTTTAAGACACTAAATACTTTTCTAAACCAAATCAATTTCTTTCAGTAGATGATAATGAGAGGTTGAAGTTCATCTCCTTCATGTTTTACAGCTTTCTCATCCCCAAATAAAAAAAGAATGTATTAAAGCCAAGAGTTTGCTGGGAGATCCTAAGGAGGAATCATTGGTTAGCCCCGTTTCTTCTCCAATGTATAACCAGCTTGTCTAGGCTTGGACAATTGCCTGTTAGAATTCTATTGAAAGGAACTGTCATCCCCAAATACCAATACAAGAGTTTCTGTATTTCTTTCCCCCGCCAAGTGTACAAGAACTTAATTTTTTCTACCTCAGAACTCTGGCATTCCCATTAGGCCCTTGCCTACCTGTTCCTGCCCTCCAGACTCTGACCAGGGACCTTTGAAGAATGACAATATCTGACAGAGTAAATAATATAAGGAGACAGAGGCCACAACTCTGTCTGCAAGCTTAGGTGGTTCTGAACATTCCTGGGCTTCTTTCTGCACCACAGCAGTCTCTGTGCTTGTATTCACATGGCCATCATTTTCTGCACACCTCAAATATTCTTTCTTGTCTCCTCTAGGGACATTCTCAATGGATGTAGGATCCGTCCCAATCCAGTACGGCCTTTCTTGATTATAGCTTCAGAGAATCCGTTTCCAAGTGAGACCATCTATGAATTTCCACCAGGACATCTAGTAAGGGATATAAATTCCAGGGGCAGCATGACTTAGTGGGAGCCCAAAGATAGAAGGTTAATGACCTTTCCTACTCACTACCTCACAGAGAGCCTTCTCATCTCACATAGAATGTACTCACCTCACCTAACCTACTCAAGCATTAATGCTTGAAAATATTTACCAAGATATACTCATGGGTGGTTACCAGGCTGACTCTATGGCTGTTTTCTGAGTTTATATCTTCAGAGCCTTCATAGGTATTTTACTGTGCATTACAGGGAATCTATGCCAGGGGCTATAGCCAACTTTAACCAGCAGTGAGTGAGTTAACTTTTATCAGGTGTGACTTAAAAAACAATTAAAGAAAGTAGAGATTTAGTAAGTAAAGGCCTTGATTCTTTTCAGTCTCCCTGCTTTCATCAGCTCTCCCAACTCCATCAATCACACGGGTGACTTTATAAAGACGGGGAAGGTAAGATGAAGATGCCATGTGACCACAGAACAAAAGGCTGGAAGAGAGTGAGTAGACTTTGTAATGTGGTGCTGAGGTCTTTTGATTCTGTACTCAAGTGCTTCAGTGTGTTATTGTTGATTAGATAATGAAAACAATGCCAGGTTATGAAAATGTTGCAAACCAGCATACACAAGTACTATTGTCATTTATTTGTATATTTAGTAAAAGAAGCTGATTACTGATATTCATTATTAAATTATGATTAACAGTCGATCCAGAATATGTCTTTAAGAAAAATAAAAATCCCCTCACACCTAAGAAACTGGAAGAAGAAATGTACAGAAGCAGAAACAAAAAAAAATGTTAAACTTTCAATGTTCAGCTTTGCAAACAGGTTTAGAGAGCCAGAACAATTTGCCCTGAGCCACCCAGGTAATTGGCAATAAAATTGGACATGTAACCTGGGCACCCTGACTTTTAAGTTGTTCTTTCCCATGGCAATAATGCAATAAATCATTTTAAGCAAGTTAAGAATGTATCATTTCTGTATTATTTAGCTCATTCATATAATTACTTTATACTTTGCTTTGTCAACAGTTTTATGAAAGACATCACTGATTGTCACTATCTTTATCTCCCTCTGACAAGAGAACAGCAAGTATTAGTAGTCCATTCCACTGTTAATATTACTCAGTTGTCTTGCCTTAGAACTTCAAAGGCAAAAATAGCTACAAACCAAAGGGCCATGCCATCTGGAGAGGATCTGTAACTGGCAGGACAGTGTGGTAAGGGTCATAACAGAGCTGACACCATGGTGACAAGGATGCAGAGAATCAGGGAACATGAAAGTACAAGTCACAGGATTCGAGACTAAGCTGAAACTGAACAGGAGATATTCGACTGGGTGAAAAAGAAAATGGTGTTTCAGCTTTAAGAAAAGAGTTATAGTGTACACAGGGCAGAGGATAGTATACAATACGGTACAAAATCCCAACATGGCTTCTGGGAAGAGTGTGTTTAGAAAGATCCATGGAGGGGACAATGAATTTACCTCAGTTGTGAAACAAGGAAGGAGGAAGGAAAGAAAGGGAGTGAGGGAAGGAG